ATAGCCCCCCCCCCCCCCCCCAATGGGTCTCCTTCTCACTCATGAAACAACTCTAGCATCAGAGTGATCTAATAGTAAAAAAAAGAGTTTAGACTTGCCTACTGCGACACCACCAATACAAATATAGGATATTTTGTCTATCAAAATTTAGAAATCATCTAATATTTTTATTTTTTTAGAAATTTATAATAGAGAATTCATAACTTTTAGCCACTTTATTATTTTATAATAAGTGTCTGTTATCTTCCACATATAGAGAGTGAATAATTTTATCTTTCAATATTAGATGAAAAGAAATTATAAAGTACTTTTAATTTAATTTTTGTTAAAATCTAAAATTATATTCACATAATTCATAATTATTTTATTAAGCATTAAATCACATATTTTTACTTGTCATGAAACCTAACTCAACCCCTAATTAAGCATTTTTATTAGATTAATACATACATAATAGGGTATAGCCTTCTACACAAAATTTTATCACTTAATATATTTTTATTTATTACATTACTTAACTATAATTAGTTATTAAACCTTCAATATGAATAAAAACCTATAATTGTATCAACTTTTTATCCTAATCATTGTCTAAATATTTTAACTCCACCAAAAGATTTAGGGCAACCTTCATTTGACTACCAAGTCAATCATAAAGACAAATATATCCTTTTTAGCATCTATATTTTTTTCTTTTGATAAGGGGTATTTCGGTAAGTTTAACTAGTATCATGGAGGAAGAGATGCATTGTCTAATTAATTATATTATATTATATATTTAAAAAACAATAGATTCAGACTGAGCAGCTATTATAAAATATATTATCATAGTAATCTGACCTTTTAAGGCAAGTTTTTGTTGGATGTTAAAACAAAAGTTTTGGAAGTTGTAGCTTGACACCTTTCCATTTTTGGTTGGACCATTAAGGTGGTAACATTTGTTTATTCTAACTTAATCATACATTTAGAATCACGATAAGTACCTTTTAATCACCTAATTAGTATAATAATCCATCGTAATCAATAATCATCAATAAAATAACAACAGAGAGAGATGAAAAGAGTAGTTTTTTTTTTATATAAAAAAATTAAGATAAAAAAGCTCAATAATCAGTCCTCTTGATTGTGACAGTGAAAACCTTAATTCTAACCTAATTTAAATAAATAGTACTTAAATAAATAAAACTCCATTTGTCCTTAAATAGTTATAGCTATAACAAAAAAATTATCTTAATATTTTTAAAAAGTTTAAGATAAAAATAATAGTAAATGTTTTTAATTATATTCTCTTTTGCCCAATATAAATAAATTATTAGGAGGACATATCCTTAAGAAACATATTTAGACATTAGTCAAAGGACTTTTCAAATATTATCATTTTGATTCTTCTCAAAAGTAAAGATAATCATCATTATTTGAGATATAAAAATAATTGAAAAATTCAGCAACGGGAATGGTCATTCAAGAAAAAAAGTTATACATTAATCTTAAACTTTCAAAAATTCATTCATTTTGGGCTAAAAAAAGTGTCAAATAGTTTTATATCGGATTAGAGAAAGTACGGAAGAACTACTTCTTAATAGGTGCACAATTTTTAAAAATATCTAAAAATTTACGAATAGCTTAGTATATTATATCTTAGATTCATGAGCGTCAAGTGAGTTAACACAACGACGATCACAACAGTAAGGGTTAGAAAGAGCTTTTGAAGGAAATTGGGTATGAATTATCCATGTGAGTCAATTCGGATCATGTCAAAATAATAGATTAATGATATATAATTATATAGTTAGAATTAAATAAAAGAAATGAGAAGGGGCACAATATTATTAATAGGACTCTTTTTAACCATTACATCGATAATATTGTTCGATAAAAAGAGTTCCTTCACAGAATTTCCGTGAAGTTCTTTTCCTTCACAATCAATAGAAAATTTCTATCCTTCTTCTCTCAATGAGGTTCAAAAAAAGTTATATATAAAAAATAAAAATAATATTTTTAAACACGATGAACATTATGTAATAGGATATGATTTTAGATTGTAATTTTATATAATTAATATAATTTATTTTTATATGTAATTATACTGTTTAACTAGTGAAACGAACTCAATAATGCTTTTTGTAGTGTAAAAAGTGATGTTTTCTTTATTTTATCATTGCACCAAATAAACAATTCTTGGATAACTTTAGGGATGGCAATGGGACGGGACGGGACGGATGTGGGACGGGGCGAGGTGGGTTTAAGGTTATGTGGGGCGGGGCGGGTGGGATGTGGGCGGGTTGAAGTGGGCTTTTAAAAAATTAATGTGGGACGGAGCGGGTTGTGGTATATGTGATTTTATGTGAGTTCAAATTTAATTTTAAGTCTTTACATGTCATAAGAGTGATAGAAAATTATTTATTAAGATAATTTCTATAAATCTACTAGAATATTCAAGATAGTAAATGAAAATGGTTCAATAAAATATAATACAATTTCTTACATGTTTTCCACCTCTAAAAAATAAAATTTTAAGTCACTATCATATTAAATTAATACAACTTAATAAAAAAAAGAAATTATTTTTATGAATTTTAATTTTAGTATCAAAATTAACTAGAAAAAGAAAATATTAAAAAAGTTATGCGGGGCAGGTTCATTCGGGGCGGGTTTATGCGGAGCGGGTGGGACGGGTTGAAAATGAAAAAAAATAATTATACGTGACGGGATAAATTAAAAATTTTACGGGTTAAGCTCTACCTGCACCGCCCGGCATAACTTTTTTTAACGCTGACATACTGAATGTCGTGACATGACATCATCCTATATGAAAGAAATATAATATTAATATTAATCAAGATTCGAACTGATTTTTATTTTAAATATAATTAATTAGGTGCACTTATTATTAAAGTTTTGACGAAGGAAATTAAATTGATTGACACATTTTCAACAAAAGATTTGCGGCTACTTTTTTTCAGAATATATAGTACTACATATTTATCAAGTATAGTCATGGTCTCAGGGATTTCTTTTATATACTAAATCTATGGAGCCCTTCTCTCCGGGGCTCTTCCCAACGTAAATCGGAATATATTTAGGCTTTAATAGAGATATCGGACACCAGGTGAAAAATCAAATAAATAAAATGAAGGACCACAATTTGATAAGATTGCATATCTTTTGGACCACAATATGTAGTATGAGCTGTTAATCAATATAGAAAATGATTCAGAAGGCCTCTTTAATTTAGTATGGGCTATTCTTTATTGCTTCATCTTTCAATAATGGGCTGCAAAATGAATAGCAAATTCAAACAAGCTCTTCACAAATAAGGCCCATTACACCCTAACACTCTTAGAAGTTCCAATCTTTTTGCTTCATTTGGTGACTCGAACGTACTATTTTAGAGTTTAAAACGTGAAGTAGTTACCCTCCGAGCAACTCTCTGAAGTCATTACTCAATTGGGGTGAATGAAGAGTACACTAAATATACAAAGAATATACACTAGTATATATAATATGTATATTTTAGAGGTCATTCCAATCGAGTTTAGAGGCTCAAAGTGATTTTACAACTTCTTTTTTGGGGAGGTGTGTGGGGGT